CCATAGTGATACCACCTCGGAAACCCAAGGAGGGGTCTCTATGAGTCAGCTCTGACTTGATGGCAGTGAGTTTAGGAGCTCTGGTGGCATAGTGCCTAAGGCATTTGACTGCTAAGCAGAAGCCCGGCAGTTCAAACCCACCAGCCACTCCTCAGAAGGAAGACTGAGCAATCTATTTCCTGTAGAGATACTGCCTCAGAAACCCAAGGAGGGGTCTCTATGAGTTGGATGCAACTCGACGGCAGTGAGTTTGTGTTTTGGTTTAACAGTTTACATGTCTGTCTGATAATCAAAAGGTTGGCAGTTCAAGTCTACCCAGAGGCACCTCAAAAGAAAAGTCTGGCAATCTACTGAAAAGTCAGTTACTGAAAACTTACAGACCACTGCTCTATTCTGATACACATAAGTTCCCCATGAGTCAGAGTCAGCTCAACACCAGCTCATTTTTATGTTGTTGCTGTTGTTCCACCCCACTGCTTAAATTCAGGCTTTCACCATTTCTTGGTCTAATTATTCTAAAGCTCTCTTACATGGTTTCCAGTTATTTACTCTTCTCTACCTATCTTTCCTCTGGTGCTTACATGGCACTATCATGCTATGCCCCTACTTAACTCTTCAGCGGTCTCTATAGTCAACACTTCCCAGTTCGACCAATTTAGTATAGATTCAAAGGCCTCCAACTCTAGGTTATCCCCTAGTTTCCTCTGCTTAGAGCCGGTCCCATATACTAGACTAAATCATTCCTCTCTCGCCCTATTATTGCTACCTTCCCAACACTCATTCATCCACTTGAAGAACATCTATTCAACCATTTTCCCATAAAGTTGTTCCAACCTCCCCCTGCAAGAGAACAGATAATTTTCTCCTTTGTGTCCTCTGGGTGTTACTTATATATGAATCTTTTATGGAGCCAGTAACTTTTTTTTTTTTTTTTTTACACTTCTTTATATAACTGACTCCTCTACTGGAATATAAACTCAGCTGCCTTAAGGACAGGGGCAGTGTCTTACCATTTTAACAAAAGCACCTAATAATTTTTGACAATCAGCAAGAAAAGCTCCATGCTTTCCAAAGACCATTACAGCCTTTATCTTAACAAACACTTCTCAACTCAGTCTGTTAAGTCCCTCAAACCCACAAATTGTATATATTTTAAATGAAAGGTATTAGAAAGATATGATCTACTTTATGGTCAACTAACACCTGGACAGTGAAGAATATATGTGGAGCAATATTTCACAAAGTATCCTTCACAATATAAATCCTAGAGGTTCTCTGTGGTAGTTAATGGTGGGCTGGGGGATTCTGTGGTCAAATAAATTCAGAAAATGCTTCATTTAATTCTGTAAAGAATTAAATCACATCATATTAAAGATTCTATGAAGTACTGAAATAAAGGAAATTATCTAGCACTAACTTTGGGCAGGTTACTGAATTCTACTTTGCCTCAGTTTTCTCATCTATTCAACAGAAATAATATTAACAATAATAATAATAATAATAAATAAATAAAGTACCTAGTTCAGATGGTCATTATGGGGCCTGAAAGAGATAACAAATATTAAGTGTTCAGAATAATGGTTGGCACACACTAAGTACTCAATAAGGGCTAAAACCAAAACAAAACTCACTGCCATCGAATAGGTTCTGACTCATAGCAATCCCTCCTTGAGTTTCCAAGGCATTATCTCTACCGAAGTAGATTTTAACCAGTCTTCCTTCCTAGGAGTGGATGGTGGGTTTGAACCACCAGCGTTCTGGCTAGCAGTCAAATGCTTTAGTGATTATTAAATACTTAATCTGTCTTCTTGCCTAGCAATTTTTCACATTCCACACTGCACACTCAGAAACACTGACAGAAAGTTATTGATGTACTGTACGATATTATTCCCACCACTCATCTGTCAGTTTGTCATACTGTGGTGGCTTGTGTGCTGCTGTAAGGCTGGAGGCTATGCCACCGGTATTTCAAATACCAGCAGGGTCACACATGGGGGGCAGATTTCAGCAGAGCTTCCAGACTAAGACAGACTCAGAAGAAGGAAGGGACGATCCACTTCCCAAAGAATTGGCCAGTGAAAACCTTATGAATAGCAGTGAAACACTGTCCGATACAGTACTGGCAGGACTGGGCAGTGCTTTGTTCTGTTATGCATGGAATAGCTATGAGTTGAAGCCAACTCGATGGCACCTAACAACCACAACAACCATATTATTCACTTTGGACACTAATAGCTCCACACACTAGGGAACCTTGTGGCTGAAGTACAGGAAAATTCCTCTGACTTCTATGACACTGGCAAAAATCAAGGATCCAAGTAAGTCACACCTCCCTGAGGCTTCAATTTCACCAAATTGTAAGAGAGAATTAAGTACATTGTGTGGACTAAAGAAAAAGCAGCCTGCAATGGAAAGAGTTTGTTACAGATAAATCTCACTCTCTGCACTTTGCATTCCTAGAAATTTCATAAAGTTTCTACTTTCATTGTACCAAGGGCTCTTGCTACTTAAGAACTGGACAAATAATCCACCTAGTAAATTTTTTTCCTTTAATAAATCAAAAGAGTTATGCTAGGCAAACTTAAACTTAATATGGCAGCATCTTGAAGTCCAGAATCAAACAACACTTTGTGTGTGAGCATCAGTAAGCATTATTCTAAGTAAAATGTCATTGTTTTCAGCTAGTGGTTCCTTCAAAATTTAGGAACCACTGACTTTTAAAATCATGCCTATGCATTATTCAAATTTATTAAATACCAAACAGTATTAAAGGATACATACAGTGAAAGAAAATCTCTCTTCCAACCGTAATCTTTCACCAGAGCCAACCATCATTATCAGTTTTATTGTATCCTTCCAAAGACAGCTTATTGCGTGTGTGTATAAATGTATATAGTTTTTACATAAATAAGAGTATATCACATACACTATACTGCAACTAGCTTTTTTTTTTTTTTTCCCCCACTTGGGAGTTTATCCTAGAAATCTGTTAATATGAACACATATTATCCCTCACTCTTTTTCATAGATGCATATATTATTTGTGTAATACATATGCCAAACTTTAAGGAATTCTTATAGATACCTAGGTTGTTACAAATAATACTGAGATAAAGATTCTTAGAGATACATCTTTATGCAGCATAGAATTGCTGAACAAAAGTGTACAGATGTTGCTAAAACTGTTCTTCAAAGGTTGCCTATTTTACACTCCCAACAATACTTATTTTCCAAACCCTCAGTAAAAGATGTTCAGAGTTTTTTTATCTTTGTAATTTGACAGGTGAAAGATGGTAGCTCATTATTTTAATTTGCACGGTCTACTGTGAATGAGAGAACCTTTGATTTAAGATGAGTTATACTTATGGTACGATCAGTTCTAGATCATATGCTACCTCCTGAAATAGTTGAAGGTTGACCAATTCTTTTTAGTTCAGTGACTCTGTGTATTCTTTCCATCTTCTTTTAATGCTTCTTGCATTGTTCAATATTTTGCCCATAGAATCCTTCAATACTGCAACTCAAGACTTGAATTTTTCCTTCAGTCCTTTCAGCTTGAGAAATCCTAAGTGTGTTCTTCCCTTTTGCTTTTCTAACTCCTAGCCTTTTTACTGACTATGCAAAGGCATCTGACAATGTGGCTCATAACAGATTATGGGTAACACTGTGAAGAATGGGAATTCCAGAAGACTTAATTATGCTCATGAAGAACCCGTACATACATCAAGAGACAGTCATTCCAACAGAACATGGGGATACTGATTGTTTAAAATCAAGGAAGGTATGCATCAGGGTTGTATTCTTTCACCGTATTTATTCAATCCATATGTTGAGCAAATAATCTGAAAAGGTGTATTCTATGAAGAAGAATGTGGCATCGGGATTGGAGGAAGACTCATTAACAACCTGTGACATACAGATGATTAACCTTGCATGCTAATAGTGAAGAAGACTTGAAGCACTTACTGATGAAGATCAAAGACTACAGCCTTCAGTCTGAATTAAACTTCAACTTAAAGAAAACAAAAATCCTCATAACTGGACCAATAAGTAGCATCATGATAAACAGTATGAAGACTGAAGTTGTCAAGGATTTCATTTTACTTAGATCCATAATCAATACCCATAGAAGCAGGAGTCAAGAAATCAAATGATGTATTGCACTGTGCAAATCTGTTGCAAAAGCCCTCTTTAAAGCGTTAAAAAGCAAAAATGTTACTTTGAGAACTAAGGGTCACCTGACCCAAGCCATGGTATTTTCAATTGTGTCATATGCATATGAGAGCTAGACACTGAATAAGGAAGATAAAAGAAGAACTGATGCCTTTGAATTATGGTTCTCGTAATGAGTATTAAATATACAATGGACTGCCAGAAGAACAAACACATATATCTTGGAAAAGTATAGCCAGAATGCTCCTTAGAAGTGAGGATGGTGAGATTTTCTCTCACGTGCTATGGACATGTTATGAGGAAGGACCAGTCCCAGGAGAAGGACATCATGCTTGAGAAAGTAGAAGGTCAGCAAAAAAGACCCTCAGTTAGATAGACTGACACAGTGGCTGCAATAATGGACTCAAACATAGCAATGATTCTGCAGCTGGCACAGGACTGGGCAGCGTTTCACTTTCTTGTATATAGGGTCACTATGAGTCAGAACCGACTACACGGCACCTGACAACAACATGCTTATAATGACTCAGTCATGGAAACAAAAGACTCCAGAGAAATTGGAACAATAACAAGAATTTACTGAAGGTGTGCTTCAATTCATTGGTTCTGGTGATGGCAGTCTGGAAACAGAAGAAGCAAAAGGTTCCCCAACAGTAGGTGTCTATCATGTTGCCAAACTGGAACATGCCTTAACAAATAATGGAAAGTTAGAGAAGTCATTCTTCTAACGACTGAACGAATCTCTCTGTGAGAGATAAATGGATTGTGCAAAGGAGACCATAACCTTCTACTCACAGAAATCCAGCTTACCCACAGGTTCAACTCACCATCTAGTAGCCAGTGCTGGCTGCGCCTAGTCTCCAGCTCCGACATCATTAGGCGTGTGATCACATGATCTGGAACCAAAAGACCTTTCCCTATGTACTGCTTTGCCATATCACCAACTTCTATTAAAAAGACAGAAAAAAGAGACACTCAAAAAAAGTTTCCAAAAAAAAAAAAAGCTTACAAATTTATTTTCTGACAGTTTAGCCTTCTTTCCCATTGCTCCCTGTGGATAATGGAGAAAACTTACAAGCAGATGCTTTTAGAGTAAGTTTAAGAAATACTAGTTTCAGCAGTGGTGGCATTATTATGATTTAACCCATTTGCCTCTCAAACATATTTTAAAAGGCAGCTCTTGCATATATATATACAGCCAAAAAATACAAATAAAAGAACATATGAAATAGAGAAAATAAGAAATGAAAAGAAAAGTTGGAGTTGAGAGGGAGGCTGGTACACAAAAGTCTGGGAAAGAAGTCCTGGATACTTCCTAGAGGTGAGCCATAAACTTGGCACTAAAACACTCAACAGTTTATAGTAACAAGGAAACATGATAAATTACATGGTTCATGGTGCTTAGAAGACTAAGGCAGCTGAGAAACACAACAGTTACTTAAAGAGACACCAAAGGAAAAACGTCCACTGATCCTCAAAGAAAGAACAATCTGTACTACAACCAATAATAGGTTTATTTCTTTTTATGAAACTTAATATAAACAGATGGCTCCTTGCTGTCACAGTTATAAAAACAACTCAGCATTATTAGTGGAATGTAAGTTCATAAAAGTATGTGAATTAAAAAAAAAAAAAAAAAACTATTTCAGAGGAAAAAAAATATTCTATCTTAATTTAAAATAAAAATCTCTGATATGTAGAAGCTGTGAGTTGGAGTCACCACAACAAACTATCAGTTTAGTCTGCATATTTTTGGGAACTGAATCTTTTTTACAAAGATGAACTCTTCTGCTCTCTGGGAAACTGATAATTAACTATTAAGAACCACATTCTCAATTGTTGTTGTTGTTGTTACGTGCCGTCCAGTCGGGCCTGACTCATAGCGACCCCTTCTTGGGTTTCCAAGGCAGTATCACTACGGAAGTAGATTGCCCAACCTTCCTTCCGAGGAGTGGCTGGTGGGTTTGAACCGCCAGCCTTCTGGTTAGCAGTCAAGTGCATTAGGCACTATGCTACCAGAGCTCCTACATTCTCAATAGGCCAATTAAGTTCTTAGTAAGACATGTTCTTGTTAGCTGTCATCAAAGTCAGTCCCAAATGATGGAGACCCCATATACAACAGAGCAAAATGCTACTGGTCAGGGTTGTAATTCAGATCATTGGAAAGCACAGGGTTTTCTAGTTTATTTTCAGAGGTAGACTGTCACATCTCCCTTCCCAGTCTGTCTTGTCTGGAAGCTCTGCTGAAACCTGTTCCACATCATAGCAACACAAGCCTCCACTGGCAGATGGATGGTAGGTATCCATGAGGTGCACCGGCTGGGAATTGAATATCAGTCTCCTGCAATGAACGTAAGCATTCTTCCACTGAACCATCACTGCCCACTATAAAAACTAAACATTACTGGAAAAAAAGCTCAGGAATGCTTTTGTCCCTACTTGCACCCTGAATTCACGTAGAGCTTTTGCTACCCCAAAGCTGAGTCTACACCTCTAGTCCCAGTTTCAGCACTGAAATATGGGCTGTGAAGAGCTTCATAACAAGAGACTTCCATATTCATATCAACTTATTGGAAAAGCAGCTCAAAACACAGGCCCATGTGTTCATTGTTGATTTAATAAGATGCTATAGCAAGCAGAACACAAAAGAGGGCTTCATTCTTGAATGGATATGAACCACAGTCATTCAGCAAATACTAATTGATTATATACTCTATACCAGATAAATTCTAGAGATGTGGTAGAGAATAAAAGTTCCAGCTTACTGAATTTTAGTAGTATTACTTAAATATCAATAATCCAAGAAGGTAGAAGTAAGAACAAGGCATCAGGATTAGAGGAAGATTTATTTACAATCCACAATATGCACATAACACAATCTTGCTTGCTGAAAGCTAAGAGGACTTAAATCAGTTACTAATGAAGACAGACACTACAGCTGTCAGTATGGATTACACACCTCAACATAAAGAAAACAAATATCCTCCCAACTGGACCACTAAGCTAAATCCTGATAAACAGATGAAAGATTGAAGCTGTCAAGGATGTCATTTTACTTGGATCCACAATCACCATCCATGGAAGCAGCAGTCAAGAAATCAAATGACTTATGGATCATGCTCCAGAATAGACCATAAGTTAGGCCACAAAAGAAGCCTAAGTAAATTTTAAAATATTGAAATACTAGAAAGCATCTTCTCAGATCACAATGCTATAAAATTAGAAATCAGTAATAGAAAGACCAAGGGGAAAAAAAAAAATCAAATACATGGAAACTGCACCCTGAATTCATGTACAGCTTTTGCTACCCCAAAGCTGAGTCCCAGTTTCAGCACTGAAATTTGGGCTGCTCAAGAACTACTGGGTAACAGAATAAATATAGTCTGAAATAATAATAAAGCTCTAGAAACAAATGAGAATGGAAATATATCTTATCAAAACCTTTGGGATACAGTGAAAGTGGCATTCAGAGGTCAATTTATAGCAATTAATGTATAGATCACCAAAGAAGAAAGAATCAAAATGAAAACCTTAACACCAACTATTAGAAAAAGAGCAACAAAAGAAACATAGTCTCCAGAAGAAATGAAATAATAAAGATCAGAGAAGAGATAAATGAAGCAGAAAACAAAAAAACAATAGAGAAAATCAAAGACTAGAAGCTGGTTCTTTCAAAAGATTAACAAAATCAACAAACCATTGGCAAATTTAACAAAGGAAAAAGAAAAAGAAGATGCAAATAACATGAATAATAAATGAAATGGGCAACATTACAACAGAACTGAAATAAAAAGATAATAACAGAATATTGTGAAGAATTATACTCCAACAAATTTGAAAACCTAGAAGAGATGGACAAATTCTAGAAACACAAGATCTACCTAAATGAACACGGGCTGAGACAGAATACTTGAATAGACCTATAACAGAAGAAGGAATTGAGCAAGTTGTAAACTCCCCACAAAATAAATTCCTGGCCCAGATAGCTTCACTGGAAATTCTATCAAACATTCAGAGAAGAGGTGACATTTATACAACTCAAACTATTCCAGAACATAGAAAATGACAGAATTCATTCTACGAAGGAGGCATAACCCTGACACCAAAACTAGGTAAAGACACCACTAAAAAGGAAAACTGCAGACCAATATCCATCATGAATGCTGACGTAAAAATCTTCAACAAAATCCTAGCCAACAGAATCCAACACCACATCAAAACAATAATACATCATGACCAAGTGGGATTTATACTAGGTACGCAAGGATGGTTCAACACCAGAAAAACAATGTAATCCATCACATAAATAAAACAAAGGATAAGAACCACATCATTATATCAATTGATACAAAAAAGGCATTTGATAAAATCCAACACCCATTCCTAATAAAAACAGTAAAATAGGAATAGAAGTGAAATTTCTCAATATAATAAAGGGTATGTATGCAAAACCAATAGCTACCATTATTCTCAATGGAGAAAGACTCAAAGCATTACCCCTTGTGAACAGGAACCAGATAAGGATGCCCTCTATCACCACTTCTCTTTAACACTGTATTGGCAGTCTTGGCCAAGGCAATAAGGCAAGAAAGAGAAACAAAAGGCATTCAAACTGGCAAAGAAAAAGTAAAGCTATCTCTATTTGCAGATGAATGGTCCTACATAGAGAAAAACTGAGAGCTCAGCAAGAAAATTCCTGGAACTAACAGAAAGATTCAGCAAAGTGGCAGGATACAAGATCAACATACAAAAATCAGTTGGATTCCTCTATATCAACAAAGAGATCTCTGAAAAAGAAATAAGGAAAACAATACCATTTACAATAAACCAAAAAAAAAAAAAAAAAAAAAACCTCACTGCCATCGAGCAATTCTGACTCATAGCAACTCCTCTTGGGTTTCTGAGGCAGTAAATCTTTACAGAAGTAGATTACCCAGTCCTGCTTCCACCGAGTGGCTGGTGGGTTTGAACCACCAACCTTCTGGTAAGCAGTCAGATGCCTTAGGCACTGTGCTACTAGAGCTCCTTACCATTTACAAAACCTAACAAAAAGATAAAATACTTAGAAATAAATCTTATCAGGGACACAAAAGACCTATACAAAGAAAACTACAAAACACTTCTACAAAAAAGTATAAGAGACCTACCTAAATGGAAGAACATGCCATGTTCATGCGTAGGAAGACTGAATATTGTAAAAATGTCAACAATGCCCAAAGCAAACTATACATTCAGTGCAATCCCAATACAGATTCCATCAACATTCTTTAAGGACATGGAAAAACCAATCACTAAATTTATATGGAAAGGAAAGAGACTTCAGATAAGCCAAGCACTACTGAAGATGACGACGAAGAAAGTAGGAGGTCTCAAACCCCCCTATCTCAAAATCTACTATACAGCCACAGTAGTCAAAACACTGTGGTATTGGTACAATGACAGACAAATAGACCAGAGGAACAGAATTGAGAATCTAGAAATAGACCCATCCACCTATGGACAGCTGAACAAGGACATTTAATGGGCCAAAATCCATTAAATCAGGGAGAGACAGCTTTAACAAATGCTACTGCCAAAACTGGGTATCCACTTGCAAAAAAAAGAAACAAGATCCATACTGCACACCATACACAAAAACAAACTCAAGATAAATCAAAGACTTACATGTAAAACCCCAAGCCATACAGTCCATCAGAGATTAAAAAAAGGGACAAGCCCAGGGGCCTTCATTTGTGGCATAAATAGACTACCAAACGTAACCCAAAATGCACAAGCAGAAGAGAGATTAGATGAGGGACTTTTAAAAATTAAATTATTATGTATATTGAAAGACTTCTCCAAAAGAGTAAATAGAGAACCTACAGATTTGGGGAAAATATTTGGCTACAACATATCCAACAAGGGACTTATCTCTAAGATTTATAGAAAACTTGAACACCTCAACATC